ACCCATAATTGAGAGTGGGTTATTGTAGTTTCCAACTATATTATTGTAGAACTATCTATTTCTCCCTTAAATTCTGTCAGTTTTTGCTTCATACATTTTGATGGTCTGTCATTAGGTGCATAAATGTTTATAATTGTTATATCTTCTTGCTGTATTGAGCCTTTTATTAATATACAATGCCCATCTTTGTCTCTTGGGACCTTTTTTGATTTAAAGTCTGTTTTCTCTGATATTAGCATAGTCAATCACCCTTGCTCTCTTTTGATTACTATTTGCATTGAATATCTTTCTCCATTCTTCCATCTCAGTCTATTTGTGTCTTTGGGTCTAAAGTGAGCCTTATGTAGATGCATATAGTTGGATTGTGTGTTTCTATCCTTTCTGACAATTCCTCTCTTTTGATTGGGGGAGTTTAATCCATTATATTTAAAGTGATTACTGATAAAGAGGGACTTATTTCTGTCATTTTGCTATTTATTTGTTTTCTATATGCCTGATAGCTTTTTTTGTCTTTCATTTCCGGCATTACTGTCTTTTGTATTTAGTTGATTTTTTTGTAGCAAAATGTTTTAATTTTATTTTCACTTCCTTTTGTGTATATTCTATAGCTATTTTCTTTGAGGTTACCATGGTGATAACATTTAATATCCTAAAGTTATAACACTTTAATTTGAATTTGTGTCATCTTAACTTTAATAGTATACAAAAATTCTATGCCTTTCCAGCTCTGTCCCTCCCCCTTTTGGTTGTTAATGTCACAGAATTACATCTGTATATATTGTGTCCCAAAACATAAATTAATAATTCTTTTAAATGCATTAGTATCTCAAATTATGTAGAAAATAAAATGTGGGGTTATAAACCAAAACTACATTAATATATTAACTAGCTTTTAGACTAATAATTTTTAAAAGTATAATAATCTCTTACATCACACAGCAAACAAAAAGTGTAATTATATGCCATTGTTATAATAATAATAGCTTTTATAATTGCACATGATTTTATCTTAGAGCTTTATTTATTTATTTATTTTGAGACAGAGTCTCATTCTGTTGCCTGGGCTAGAGTGCCATGGCGTCAGCCTAGCTCACAGCAACCTCAAACTCCTGGGCTCAAGCAATCCTGCCTCAGCTTCTCAAGTAGCTGGGACTACAGGCATATCCCACCATTCGTGGCTAATTTTTTCTATCTTTGTAGTTGGCCAACTAATTTCTTTCTATTTTTAGTAGAGACAGGGTCTCGCTCTTGCTCAGGCTGGTTTCGAACTCCTGACCTGAGTGATCTGCCTGCCTTGGCCTCCCAGAATGCTAGGATTACAGGTATGAGCCACCATGCCTGGCTGAGCTTTATTTCTTTATATGGATTCAAGTCACTATCCAATGTCCTTTAATTTTACCTTGCAGATTACCTTGAACATTTCTTGCAGGACAGATCTAGTGGTAACAAACTCCTTCAGCTTTTTTAAAAGATACCTGGGGATTTCTTATTTTCTTCCTCACTTTTGAAGGACAGTTTTGCTGGATATAGGATTCTTGGTTGGCAGGGTTTTTTGTTTGTTTGTTTGTTTCATTTTAGTACTTTGAATATATTGGCCTATTACCTTTTGGCCTCCAAAGTTTCAGAAATCTGTTGATAATCTTATTGAAGATAACTTGTATGTGATGATTTGCTTCTCTCTTGCTGTTTTCAAGATCCTCTCTTTGTCTTTCACTTTTGCAAGTTTGATTTTAATGTATTTCAGTGTGGGCCTCTTTGAGTTCATTTTCCTTGGAGTTCATTAAACTTCTTGCATGTTTATATTCATGTCTTTCATCAAATTTGGATAGTATTCAGCTATTATTTTTTCAAATACTCTGTCCTTTTCTCTCTTTCTCCTTCTGGAACTTCCACAGTGCATATGTGGGTGTGCTCGATGGGATCCCACAGTTCCTTTAGGCTCTGTTCACTTTTCTTCACTCTTTTTTCTGTTTCTGAGACTTGATAATTCCCACTGTCCTATCTTCATGTTTGCTGATTTTCTTCTGCTGCTCAAATCTGCCTTTTAATCCCTCTAGTGAAAGTTTTCATTGCAGTTAATCGTCTTTCTCAGCTTTGGAATTTCTTTTTTTTTTTTTTTTAGGTTTTTCTCTTTATTTATATTTCCATTTTATTCATAACTTGTTATCTTGACATTCTTAACATCTTCCTTTAGTTATTTTAGCATCTTTAAGGTAGCTGCTTAAAGTCTTTGCCATCAGATCTTTTTCAGGAACAGTATCGTTTTATTTTTTCCCTTTGAGGAAAAAAATGGCCATATTTTCCCATTTCTTTGTATGCTTTGGGATTTTTTTTATTGTTGTTGAAAAGTAGACATTTGTATCTAAAACTGTAGTAACTCTGGAAATCAGATTCTCCCCCTTCCTTAGGGTTTGCTGGGTTTGTTTTATTGCTTTTGTTTTTGTTTTTGATGGTTATGGGCTGTCTTTGTGCTGAGGATCAGCCTGAGGTATAAATATAAGGTTTTCTCAGGTCTTTTCTGATCCTTTCTCTGGGCATGCATGGTCATTTATAATTTTCCCCATATACGTAGTTGTTTTTGGATGTCCTAGTCTTTAAATCTGGTTCCTAAAAGGGAATAAAAGAGAAAATTTTGGGGGCAAGGGGCTGGCTGTTAAAATCACCTAGAAGTCACTTCAGCCCGAGGGAGAGAGGCTTGCAACAATGGAGGGAAATGCAATGGCAATGGCTCTCAGCCTCTTTGTCTGCACATCTGTGATCAGAATCAGTAATCAGAGATCAAAGCACAGATTTCACAAATTCCTAATATTTGGAGGACAGGGTCCCTTTTTTTTTTTTTAATTTTTTGCCCACCCTGGCTCCCTCAAACTATGTGCAGGTGACTTCAGGAACATATATACAGCTACCTACCATGAGACTGAGGGGTGGGAAATGGGTAGCTGCAGCTGTGAAATTGACCAAAATTAACCACCATTTAAAATCGAAGCCTTTCTCTGGAAATTTCAAGTCTGAAAGATTCCAGAGTTCCAAAATAATTACAACAGACAGATTTTTGCTAGTGCAGTTGTCTGAGTGAGGAGACAGAGTCTTAGGACTCCTACTCTACCATCTTCCCCCTTTTTTAGGTTTTTACTTGTGTGGTTACACTAAATTCTGATGAGCAAAGATTTTTGCCCCAGGGATTTCTTGGTATTTTTAGAGAAACACATATGTTGCAAATTTTGGACTCCAGAGTGAGTGATAACTAAAATGTGGTTGTTGTTGTTACATCATGATATTTTCTGCCTGTTTTTAGATAAACCAGATATTTTCAATCAGTGAAAAATGATGGCAGATATTTCAGGCATTCTTTAATTAGCTGGCCATAATATGTTTTATATTAAATGAAATGTTTTGTAAGACATGCATACTTTTAACATCCAAATACATTTCAGCGTACCTTGCATAACACAATGCTTATGTTGCGGAAAAATAAGACTCAGACTCAAGTTTTAGAGTTTATTAAGGTAAAGTTGTCTGTAAGAAGGAATGAGGAGGCAGCCATACAAACTTATTAGGCACCTCCTCCCCCATCCAAAAAAGACAGTGATTTTTCTTGAGATATATTAAGTCACAAGGCACAGTAATTATGGTGAAATGTTACAACCATGTAGAATGTATGGTTGTATTAACTGAAGATGACTGCTGATGTCAAGAGCTTTCATGAAAGTATAGCTAACATATTTTGGAAAAAGATCATGCTATTTATCCAGGAGAAGTAAAATATTAGAATGTTACTAGTTTTCTGGGGCTTTAACCTTTCCTTAACTAGTAGTTTTCATGACATATAGCTTCATCTCTTATGGGCAGGGCTAGCTTCACAGATGTGCAACTTATGCTCTTAGAAGGGTCTGGCACTTGCTTTAATATTGTTCTGTTGCCATCATGATTCCTAATAAGTTTTAAACAAAGAGCTCTGCATTTTCATGTTGTACTGGGCCCCACAAATTATGTAGCTGGTCCTGATTATGAGAGCTGATTTAATCTTTCTTCACCATGTATTACGGGGTAAAACATCATTTTCACAGGATATACATGGCCCAAGTTAGGGGTAAGGGCTATGGTAAGCTGAAGGACCTTCTGGCCAACACCTTTTATTTCAGGAAGCTAAACTTAGTATGATAGGAAAAGGAAAGAAAGAGCATAGTGTAGGAGCAGGCAGGGGCTACTGACAGCTAGTGTTTCTCCATTAATAACAACAGCAGCTGTTACTACTCCTGCTACGCCCACCACCATATCAAGCAGCTAATATCTGCCAGGCTCTGGCTAAGCACTTTATGTTCATTATTTCCTTTAACTTAATCTTCTCAGCAACCTGCAAAATGAGTATTGTTTTTATAGATGAAGAATCTGAAGTTTCTAATAATTAAGTTGCCTACAATTACAGAGCTAGTAATGGTCCTTTCTCATTCACTGTCCTTGCTACTCACTTAGGAAGTAGCCAACCTAGCTGGTCTGTTGTTAAAATTGGACTTGAATCACTGATTTACCTACTTAAAAAGATATACTAGCAGGGAGAGGGCCATAGACTAATGTTTATAATTTTAAGAAAATTTTCTACTTTTGTACTTATGTACACCATTGTAGACAGTATTGTTTAGTACCTTTTAGATATACATCTTCTTTCCTTTTTTTTTTTTCATCTACAAATGCTATCTGGACAGTATACCAATACTGGAAGTGTTTTCCAAGGAGAAATAAGTACACCCTCCTCCTTCTCTCAGAAGACTGTATCAACAAACAGTCCTATCTATTTTTAAACCTCAGCCAAAATGACATTTTGTTTATTATTTATTTCACCTATTATCATTTTCCTGGCTTTTATGTGTGATTGTGTTCTGCCACAATTAAAAAAGATTATCCATGTGTTCTGTTTTAATCTTGCACTAAAATAAGGTTTTTCTCAAGTTTGTAAATATAGAAATTCTATTCTGGAATAATCCCCATTATGTCTCCTGCAGGAAAGCGTCTCCAGCAGCTGATGTCTCCAGGCTTGGATATAGTTCCTTGTCAAATCACAAGTACATTCCCCGGAGGGCAGTGCTCTACGTACCTGGAAATGATGAGAAGAAAATAAAGAAGATTCCGTCCTTGAATGTAGATTGTGCAGTGCTCGACTGTGAAGATGGTGTGGCTGCAAACAAAAAGGTAATGCCATGATTTTAGGACTGGCAAAAGAAATGGATTGATATTTGGTTCTCTTGCTGTGGCATTGCTCTTATTTGGAAAAATTCTACTGTACTGATCTTTTGCTGATTACTAACAGTTTTTTGACCCAGCTCTTATGAGGGTTTCAAATGTGTGTTTCTCTGTTCTTTGAGACAAAAGAAGAATTCGACCAAAATATATTTTAAAATTATGAACTTTAGTAGATGTGACTGTGTGTATGTATAGATAAAAAGATAGGCAATCAATGTTGGCCATGATGCTGGCTGCTCTAGATAAATGAGTCACGTAATGCTAGAATTGTGGTGAAAATTTTTCAGACCAGTAAAATGCAACTAGAAATTTATTTCTTCTTTTTTACCACTAGGTATATTAAGTAGTGGCTTATCTCTTCTGAGACAAGTGCCAAGAAAATAAAAGGTAGTCTTCCATGGATAAATCACCATTTTCCCTACTTAACTATAGGGAAACTACAGCCAGAACCTTAGGGTTGGTTGTAGCTTCTGGCTGATTTCCTCATGGCCTGACCAGGGAAATGAGCCTTAGAAAATATCCGATTTTTAAACAGGTACAAAAGGTTCTTACTGAGTGGTTGCATAGTGGGTGCTTTTTGTTTCATTTTGTTGTGCTTAACTTTGTTTTCTATGTTTTTATAATGAGTGTGGATTTGTAATGATTAGGTAAAATATATAAATCATAACAATAACTTATGATTGCATGCAACTTTTTTAGTTAAAAACATACATTCACTCAACCTTTATCTACGAGGCCCTAGACAGTGAGGTTGGTCTGGGAATGGACTGTGGAGCCAGCCATCTGGATTGATGCCTATTTGGATAGTTTCTTGCCCCAGGTGATCTGAAACACCATGGCTGTACTATACAACTTTCTGAATTAATTGCTTTCCTTGGAGATTCTAGCAAACAAATATTTGCCTTAATTAAAAAAAAAAAAAAAGTTCATTTCCAGCATCTTCCTAATGGTCAAACCAAAGCTTTCCAAGTATTTGGAAAAGGATTAGAATGAGCATGTGGAATCTAAAGCATCTACTCAACATCTTTGGCATGTGCCAAGGAAAATACAATTAATCTTTTTTCTCCCAGAGATTAATGTAAATAAGCTTTTTTCTGAAGGATATAATGTGATTCCAATATGCCCCTTCCCACAACCCATGCAGTATGACTTAGGGCAATTCAGTTTACTTCTTTGCCTCAATTTCTTATCTATACTGTAGGGATGACAATATCTTCTTTTGTCAGGGACAGGGATTATTATGAGAAAAAAGTTGATAAAGTCTGCCCAGGAGTAACTTGATTTCCTATAGGAAGTAGATTAGATAAATCCTGTAGTAATCATGATTAGAGGGCAGTTTATTTTAGCATGGTAGCACAGTGAGCCATTAGGTGCCCTGATAAACTTAATTATATTTCTTCATAAATCTTGAGGCTGTCCTCCCATACCCACCTGAGGACTGTTTCCTGCCACCCAGATAAGTTGGAAATACAGTCCATTCTTTCCTTACTGTTTATCTGTGTTCTGAAACCATCCTTATACCCAGAGTAGTAGCAGCTGAGCTACTGCTTAGGAGAAACTCAAGGAAGAGAAGGTGAGAGAAGAGTTACTGGCCAGTGGTGCCTGCCATCTTGGAGTGTATGTCCACACAGGGTTTTCATTAGGACATTCCAATTCTCCAAACACAAATGAACTTGCATTAATTATTAGACACACTCTTTTATGCATGCTGAGCTTGAAGTCAACTAAAATTCCCTTCTTTATCCACAGAAAATTCTGGAAATCCAGGCTGGTACTTGTAAAAAAAAATTTTAAAAAAATGTCTATCCAGGACTTAATGTTCATTTCATATATTTCATTTCATGGCCCTGTCAAAGTCTTTTTGGATTTTGATTTCATCATCCAACATTTATATCACCTGAGAATTTGACAAGCATACCATATGAAAATTGAACAAGTTTCTGATGGATATATTGAAGAAGTTGGAGCCATATGCTATACAAGCATGCCACTAAAAACTTCTGTTCAAGTTTATTGATCAAACATTTATATAAGGCTGACTAAATGCCAGGTGCTGTAATTTGCCTGACAACCCAATGAGGTACTATTAATATTATTACATTCGTTTTACAAATAAGGAAGCTGAGGCACAGAGCAGTCAAGTTCATGAATAATACAAGGAATGTGATTATTTGGTCACCTAACTCTCCTAAAATCTAATCTTTTCATGAGGATATCATGAGATTTTTATCAAATGCCTTTTCAAAATGAAGATACATTCCTGATTTACCTGTCTAGAAATACTTTCTCTTTCCGTACCTCCACCTAACCAGAAAAATGAGGTCAGGTAGATGAGCTTTGTTCTTAAGGAGCCCCATGTCAGCACCTAGTAGTTACCACCTCTTTTTGAAGTACTAGAAATACCAAAATGGTTTGCTGAGAATTTTCTGTGTAGGAGGTTCTATATTACATATGTTATTATTTACATTATCTCATTTACATATATTAGTTACCTGTATTAGTTCCATATATTATCTAGTGTGTATTACTTATATATTATCTTGTTTACATATATTATCTCATTTAATCCTAATAGCAAAGTTTTGAAATTTGTTCAAGCTCACATTGCTATTAAATGGCAGAACCAAGATTCAGATCTCCTAGAATTTTTGCCAGGAATCAGCCTCCAGCTCACCTATTGGCATATTCTATCATTCCCTTTTCCCATTTCCTTGGAAAGCTATTGACTTGGCTTTTCTTTATCTTTTGTCAACTTCCCGTTCTCCATGATTTCTCAGAGGTTAAGGGAGCTCTGTGTTTACATTTGCAAATTCTTTCAGTGTCCTTAGCTTGCCATTCATTTAGACCTAGGGACCTCAATTCATTTGAAAGTCCAGATAAGCCTGAAACTCCTCATATTTCTCATGTTCTTTTTTCTTTATTGAAGTCACTTCTTAAAGTTTTTTTTTTTTTTTTTTTTTTTTGGAGACAGAGTCTCGCTTTGTTGCCCAGGCTAGAGTGAGTGCCGAGGCGTCAGCCTAGCTCACAGCAACCTCAAACTCCTGGGCTCGAGTGATCCTTCTGCCTCAGCCTCCCGGGTAGCTGGGACTACAGGCATGCGCCACCATGCCCGGCTAATTTTTTATATATATATCAGTTGGCCAATTAATTTCTTTCTATTTATAGTAGAGACGGGGTCTCGCTCTTGCTCAGGCTGGTTTTGAACTCCTGACCTTGAGCAATCCGCCCGCCTCGGCCTCCCAAGAGCTAGGATTACAGGCGTGAGCCACAGCGCCCGGCCATCTTAAAGTTTCTTATTTGGACGTTATTCTTCATGATGGAGGAGATAGAAACCATTTTTAGAGAGCTTATTTTTTAGTAAGAAGAAATCCATATTAAAATTCTCATTTCAGATTATCTAGTTGTATAATAGTTTTGCTAGACTGAACTATCATTGCCTAATTCAGCTTTCTTGAATTGTTAAAACTTAGTCACTTCATTTTTTATCTCTTTTTATTTTTTTATTAATAGACTAATTCCATAGTTCATTTGATTGACTCTCCATGGAGTGTGGGCTTATAATGAAAACAATAGGAGTTTCCACAAAGCAGTTTATAAGCATATAATATGTTCCAGCAGGCTCTAATCCTGTCCTGCTAATCCAATTTGTGTTTAAGTAGCTCCTTCATGTCAAGGATGCTACCACCAGCTCACCTTCCCAAGCATGGATGATGGAAAGACTGTCTCCACTCCCCTCTTATCTTCTCCTTTTCATTGTTAAATGAATGAGGAGGTATGGGGCTGTCTAAGCCACTCTTTGCTGAGCTATGGTAAAAATATGCCAAGTAATGCACAGATTTCTGGTGAATCACCATGACACTTGGCAAGCCCAAGAAAGTAGGAGTGGAGGAGGTAGAAGCAAAGCTGCTATTTTTTTTTTTTTTTTTTTTTTGAGACAGTCTCACTCTGTTGCCCGGGCTAGAGTCCCATGGTGTCAGCCTAAGCTCACAGCAACCTCAAACTCCTGGACTCATGTGATCCTCCTGCCTCAGCCTCCCAAGTAGCTGGGACTACAGGCATGCACCACCATGCCTGGCTAATTTTTTCTATATATTTTTAGTTGTCCTGCTAATTTCTTTCTATTTTTTTAGTAGAGATGAGGTCTTGCTCTTGCTCAGGCTGGTCTCGAACTCCTGAACTCAAACTATCCGCCCACCTTGGCCTCCCAGAGTGCTAGGATTACAGGCGTGAGCCACCGTGCCTGGCTGAAAGCTGCTATTTCAGTTGAGTAAATACTTTAATAATCATTTAAATGTATGTAATATTTAAGTTTAAATAAATACTCAATATTTAATTAAATACTGAGTACCTGCTCAGCTGGACACTGTGGCAGGCAGGAGGGATGCAAAGATGGTTGCAGATCCCCGGCCTGGAGGAGTCACAAGTTGGTGGAGACAGACAAAAAAGTAAAGTTATAGTCCCACAAGATAGGTCTGTAAGAACACATTCTTTTTTTAATAATTTGGTTCTAAGTGGCTTTTAATTGCCATTTTGATCTCTTGCTTGAAACATGAGATACAAAAGAGTGCTTCCCAAACTCTATGGTAAGGAAGCAATTTGGCTATTTTTGTTTCTCTTCGTTTCTTCGTTTCTTCCTCCTTTCTTCTCTCCCTCTCTCCCTTTCTTTCATATCCAATCCATTGTAGACCAATACTTCTTTCTGTAAAATACAACAAAAATGAATTTCTATTTAATAGAAAAATTAAATGCTGCCTGGGTGTCATAGCGATGTAAGTACTATAGAAGTTTCTAAACTCTTACTCTCCAACATTGTACTTACCACATTGTGGTGTGGTAAGATTTCGTGGAACTAGAGTGAGCCACAGACCATAGCTGGAGTAGCAGGGACTTAGCTGCGTTAGGAGTCTATGGTCATGAGGATCTTACACAGACCCTTCAGGAAGCCAAAG